GACAGCTGTCAACCAGGGAGGCTCACTTTACACCCTCAACCTTAAACCCTAACCCCCCCCCCTGCCCCTAATTCAGAATAGGTTTTAAAGGGCAGGGATGATTTCGGGAGGATCGGGGTGTTTAATGAAAGGGGGAAACGATTAATCGGCGACATCCTGCAAACAAGGTTTCAAATCTGAGGCTTAAAGTAGGATTTTCAGCCGTTGCTGCGAGGAGCCTGAGTCCTGACATAGACAGATACAAGGAGGTGCCAGGCAAGACTCACCGACCAAACTACATGCTTTACGGGGGAGCTAGTAGTCGTACTAAATCCACCCATAGGGCCGTCGGGCCGAAAGCGAAAGTGATTGCCTCCTTGCCGTCATCTTTAGAGGCTTCCTTGACCTCCCAACACGGTAGAGGGACACGGTGCAAAAGAAAGATGGTCACGAGCGTGGTACTAGAATGGCCGTCGAATGTTTACGAAATGAGCTAATTGTAACATGCCCATGCCTTGCGCTGCTCTTCTTGAATCTGGCGTCTTTCAGCCTCGGGGCTCCGGTACAAACTTTTCAAGTTTCGCTTTGCTGCGGACGGAACTTCTGGAGACTCACAGCAGACACCGAAATCGTAACAAAATCCGCACTCAGAACCGAGTCTTCAATCTGCTCGCCTTGGTCAGCTGCTTCTTGGGCTCGGCTTTTGCCTGACCCTTGGCTTGGGCTCGCCGTGCCTCGTGGTAGGCTTTGCGTTCCTCCTCGCGGAATGTCCCAAAGGCAGCTGAGACCAAGCAATCACTGTGATTTCTGATCTCTGCGAAAGCCTAGAGAAGGGTATGGTGGCCTTTTCGCTCATGATCGATCAACCCCCTGAAACCGTTTTTGGCAGCGCTTCTGGCTTGGAGTCAGCAGGGACTTATCGCATCGATTTGAAGCGCGACTTCACGGTCTCCATGTTCTCGCTCCCACTTCTCGACGTGTTTTCTGTGCTCCCTGCAATGAAAAACCCCGGCCTTGGAGAGCTTGGCCAGCTGCTCTGGCGACAGCCTTCAGAAATGCCGAATAGAGAGGACATGCACTACCAGTAGCATGCAAGTACCAAACAGGTATGCAGACTCGACACAGTGTATAGCACTTGTCTAGAAGCAACTCTTGTCCTGCGCTGATCTCGTGGAGATTCAGATTGTCGGTATGTCAATCCCACTTGATGCCGAAAGTGGCACACTTCGCCGGACGCAGCTTATCATGCTGCAAAACCAGCATTCGGATTCAAAATCTCTTGCGACAAAATGCGGCTCTAGCACGAGGAATTTCGTAAATCCCGAAGTTGAAGCACAACACAGAAACTTTCGACCAACTCAAACTCAAACCTAAGAAGACTTCCCTGGTGCCTTCCGAAGACCATTCTTTCTGACCCCTTAACAGTTGGATCCATAGCGTCAACTTGGTTTATTCATTGGCTAAATAGAGACCGTTGGGGTCGATCATGCAACCAGTTAGTTAATTTGCAGTGCATCAACTGGGTCACAATTTGACACCTTCGACATCGCAAGAGCACCCCTCCTCGGGTGGAGAAACAACTCCGACTTGTGAAGGCACGCGGGTGGCAAAGGAACGACTTAGCTCAGGGGCATGCTGTGCATTGGGGACGCTCTGTACTGCAAGTGCTAATCCTCGGGAAACGATAACTCTCTCCCGGTACTACAAACTCGTCTCTGGTTGCAGTGTTGCTTTGGGTATCTTGGCCGTGTGGCTCATAGAGTGGCATCACTCAAACTAACTAACGTTGATGCGTCCAAGGCCAAATGCTCTCCGGATCCTTTTCGCAAGATCCCTGCCCTTTGAGGAGAGTTCCGTTGTGTCCAAGTCGCTCCTGCACCGGGCTAGCAGACGAGGGCTCGGCTGGGGCAGCTGGAGCTGCAGTTGTGGCAGCTGGAGCCGAGGGAGAAGTCTCTTTCGACGGAGAAGGCCAAACGCCAATTTCCTGCATGTCTGAGCCTACATTCAACAGCACGAAGCACTCTGAAATTCAGTGCTTCAGTTTTTGCCTGGAGAACCTGTCCTCCAAATAATCTAGTGTCCAAGCACTGGCCATGGCTTGCAGGGCCGAATTAAGTGCCAGGTACAATCAGCTCGGACCAGAATACCAATGCGGACGGGCATAATGGTTCCTGCTCTGCAACTGCATGCATTTCGGCCAAGATGACTCCTAAAGCTTAAAACCCAAAATCCTGCAGAGCCGAACATGTCAAACCAAATGACACCAAGTCACCGCATGCCGACCGAGGTGGCGCCAAGATCAATCATCACCTCATGCAAACTGTTCCGGGTGTTGAGTGTGTAAGAGAGCCCAATGAAGTAGACACAAACCCTGCCTCGCCACGCCGCTATGTACATCAGCCTCAAACCTCTACTAAGGGCTCCCTTCCTAGACAAGTTGCTGGGGATCGGCCGACCGCAGCGAAGATCTGGTTCGGAAGCTCCTGTTTTCGGAGACATGTGGGAGCTTGCTTACCTTTGACATCCTCTAACGCCTTGTGCTGGCTAGTGCATGTTCTCGGACTCCGATCCCGCTCGTAACCGTGTTTCTAGGTGACGATCTCGACAACCTGGAGACTTCCGAGGGTGTGAGAAAGTGCAGCTCAGCTCCTCCGGACCTGTGGCCATTTTGTAGGCCATGTCAAACCTTGAGACATTTGCAATCAGCAGGATGATGTTGCGTTTGCTGCAGCATGCTAAGGGGCTGTGGCGATGTCGGCAGGGGCATGAGGCTGCGAACAACGAGACATGTGACATCACGAGTACCTATACTCAAAATTCGGGTTGATGCCAACAGGAAATCTTTAATTTACATTCCATTCCTAACCCAACTAACTTAACAGCCTAGCAACAATCCTGTGAAGTGTCGATCCCACAACAGCGACATCTATCAGCAGGCAATTTATGGTGACACGCCTGGCCGAGCAAGGCACATGTTCATCTTGTGCACTTTGACATCGTTCCCGCCACCAGCTGTGAATCGAGAATTCACCTCAGGCATGCAGCAGCCAGCCAAGGACCACCCTAAACTGTAGCCATGGTAACCTGCAAAGCAGGGCAACCTGTGGTAGTCCGGACTTGACGTTACGCTGCGGATCTACAAGAAGTGAGAGCGACATGGATGACATAAAGCGACTACAAGGGGTAACGTTATGTCGCCCCAGGGCGCGTGAAGTCGCGACATCGCGTGGTCACGCGGGAACGCGTGAAGTTACACCAGGGCGTGTGAAGTCACATCACAAACATAGCTGCACATCGCTTTCCCCATGGCCACTGGCACAAACGTCAACTTAGGATTTCGAGTGCCACGTGCAGGCTCTCATAGGAAACTGCTATCCGGAACACAGCTGTCTCATCGCAGCAAATAGCACATCAAAACCAGCCATTCCCCACGTAGACGCTCGATTTAGCAAGCACCCGCTCCAGAAACGCATCAGCGACATCGCATCAAGCAGCAAATCAAAACCAGCCACTCCCCGAGTAGACGCTCGATTTTTCCAGCACCCAGCACGCACCCAGTAATACAGGAAGAACAAGTCTCCATGTCAATGGCTGTAAATTCAGCTTCAGTAGTCAAACCCCAACAATCTCGAATCAACGTGATCACGAATCCCCAAGTAGACACTCAGTGATGCGACCCCGCCTGGTGATTCCCCGCAGTGTGGGGTGGGATGCTGTGTCATGCTGTGTCGCTGTACCGGTTGCCGGGACTTGTTCAGAATGGCTTCCCCCCAGTGTCTACGCACAAAAGTATGACTACACACAGCACGGTACGACTTAACACAACCCGCCAGTACCATGCTCTGAAACCAAAGAGCTGGGCTCGGGTGCACTGCATGAACGTCCACGCCACGTGCCTTGCCCTCAACAGCAAGACTTGCAGCCAGCTCCTCGGCTTGGCGAAGGGTCCGCAATCTCTTCCAATGTTGGTGGGTCTTGCGCAGGCCACTTTACGAAGCGCCAGCATCTCTAAACATGACCGTTTCGACGAGAGAGATTGCTATCTTCACCGGAACACTACAGGTGAACACGAATCGCTTTTCTTCCCAGTGGAGGGACTGATAGCCCTGACTTGGTGCAGCCGTACCTTAGTCATGCCGTGCTTTTGCAGCAACACGTGCAGGAGACGCAGCCAGAAGCTTGCTGACAGCAGCTGTGTGAATTGTGCATACCGCCGCCCATCGAGCCCCAAGTTCGGCGGGATTCTTCTGCTAACGAACATGGCAATCGACATCACACGAGTATCTCCTTCTGCATCCACGCAGCATTGCAGCGAAAGGGTTTGGAATGAAGCCCGCAGAGGACGATGTGAAGACAATGCAGCCTTTCAGGCCCTGCAGACAAGGCCGGCAGTTGCCGGGTCAAAAGCTGCCAGACTGCAGTTGCCTTGCTGATAAGTCTGCTGTAGAGGTAGTGGGTGAGGTGTATGTTTGCAGTGAGATTGCAGTGGAAGTTGGCGAGGTGCGTCTCGACCGAGTGCTGCTCGAAGAAGCCTTGAAGCTTGAGCATGCTTGAGCCATCTATGCAGCCTTGCACTTCGCGCTCTGGCCTGTGACGATGAAGCCGGCGTTGTTGAAAACTACTTGGACATCAATGTCCTGCTGTGGCTGCACCGGTTACAAACAAAGCTCATGACTTAAGCGTGACATTTAATGACTTCAATGCGCAGAGGAAGCTGAATCATGCTGATTCGAGAGGGATCCTTGGTCGCCTCTTTAACGTCTGCCATCCAGGACCCAGAACTGTCCGACAAGTTTGCCTCAGCCATGTCAGCTCCACCAGCAAACTCGCAACATCAAGCAACCAACGGCGGAACGAGTGCCATGTGCAGCTGAAGAGTGAGCAAACCAAAGTGCCTTGACGCTTCGGATACTCGCTTTCGGAAACTCCTTTTTTAGCTCCTGGCTGGGGCAAGGCCAATACCACAATCAGAAACATGAAGCACAGCTGCCTGGGATCTGCATGGAATCAACTTCTGAAGGTGTATATGTGAGCTCGGACTCAAGATCTGCGGGTCAATCACACACATAGCAGCGACCACCTTTAAGGTCTCTTCGAAGATCGGCTCGTCACCTCCATGATTCATTCTCTCTTTGGCATTGCCCCTTGCCTGACAGTTGCCTGCACTCCCCTTCTCCCCAATTTGGTGTCCAACTGCAAGCTAGCCCGAGTTGCACGAGTCCCGTGGCTCTCCGCTCCCGACTCTCACCGACACACTTCCTGAGCAGTCTTCCATGCTAGTTCGGTCAACATACCAACTGAGAGCGGGGCGCGCTATGATAATCAAATTGAGCCCCTGGGATAGCAATTTTCGCGCCAGCTCCTGCGTGAGATGATGAGATGAGTGGTGTGCGAAGCTTCTGCACACTTGCAATTCCGACCCAAAGGCATTCCACAAAAGGCGGTGCCTTGCCAATTCCTGAGGAGCCACCTGAGATTCAGATTCTTTTTTGCAGTTCAGGGCCGAGGGTCAGTGGCAGCAATTCAGGGCGGGCTCTGGAATCTCACGCAGAAGCACAGTGGGATAAAGAAGCAAGTCCCATGATGCTTGCTGCCTTGGAGCCGGTCACGAGCGACCAGCTCGCGGCGTAGCGTTCTTTCAGATTCTGTGGTCCCAGCAGCCTGCCGTGACTTCTTTGGCATGTGGCGGTGTCTTCCATGCCGTGCAAGGATACAAGATGGCCGGCCTGGGGACTAAAGAGTTCAACAGGAGGTACCTCTGTGGTTGCCCAGCAGGAGGTGCAGCACTTCTTAAACCGTGGTAGGCAAAAGCTTGTGAAACACCACTATCACAACTACCAGTATCATGCTTTCGTAAACCAGTGGCTCTCTCATCGCACGATGCTGGGATGTGCCAGCCTACAAGCTCGCACATCAACCAATGCAGCTCAGCTTCAGCACTGGCGACGCAAGCAGCAAGCTAAAAAGCAGCAGGAAAAACATGGTTAACTACTGCGGTCAGAACCTACTCACTACCTGAAAAATCTGCTGCGGAACAGGCAGAATGCCACAAAGAATTTCCGCAGCAGGCTAGGCGGCTGGCTGCAAAATGGACTGAGGTTAAGGCCGGTCCGGAAGCGACCTTGCGCTGGCCCTCTACTCTAGTGCAAGGAATTCTGGTTTCAGCCAATACGCCGAACCGTTTTCAACGCGATGGACATGCAACTCCGCTACGAACCCGACACACAACCACATGATGTCCAAATGCTTGTACGTGCTTGTGCGGGAGGTTGCATTATTGGAGCTTTGTTGCTGCGACTTCTATGGCTTGCCGCGGTAAGGACATTCGGATAAACATGTTCTATGGCCGGCTCAACTCCGATCGCTTGAAGCGTACCTCCCGGACTTGCACTTTCTGCGAGTTGGCGACGACGTTCAAGTTTTAACACGAGTGAACTCTTGGCAACATCCGAAGTATTTACACTTTGTTCAGTGCGCCTCGGGTTTCCCCGTTTCCTCGTGACAAACTCAAGTGCTGAAGGTTGTGTATCATGATGCTGAGGACTGCCTCGAAGAAGGGATGACATTCCGAGATTGCAATTTCTGTTCCGGTGCGTGATGCTGACTAGCGACAGCTCATCCTGGGCACATTGCTGAGAAGCGGTGTGGTTGACCAGTTGCATTTCAACAAGACCTTGAGCTTGCTTGCTAAAAGTGCATCAGCATGCCGAATGGATGCCAGCTTTTCTGTGAGCATGTTTCCGCTGCACCTCCCAGCCTCGGGCGGCCGGCGACACGCAAACCTTTCACAAAGCTGGGCTCGACTCTTCGATTCCTTCGACTCTCGAGGAGCCTGATCGAATCTGCCTCCGAGGGGTCTTCGCCGTCGCCCTCCACAGCAACGCGCCGCGCGATGATTCCACCAGCACCACCTCAGGCGAAGCTTGGAGGGACAGTTAGAAAAGCCTGGGGCAAGGTGAACCTCTGTAGTTATAGCAATGAGTAATGCAGGCCCCTGGATGTCCGTAGAATGACTCGCCTTCGCTTCGAAGCAGGCCATCTCCAAGTCGTGTGCCCACTGTCCATGCCTCAACTGTGCTTCGACTCGCAGTTGGAGCGAAGCACTGATCTATCTAATTATTTGGCATAAAAGGTTGCGCGTGGAGTCGCCCAAGAGCCACCGCATTGCCGGTCGCACTTCTGCCAAGAGCCAGGCCCCAGGCTTTGCTCTTCGTTCCTTTGTAGAGGAAAAGGCAGCGTGCCTCGCAACGCCATGCAACACGAAGGGCAAAGGACTCTCTGAGGTTGAGAGATGTCACACTGTTTGGCCTGCATGATATGCAGTTTCGTGGCAGTTCTGGCTGTAGGGCCTCACGGGAACTCTTTGGCGAGGCAGCTGTGCTGACCTTGGGCGTGAGGGTCGGCTGCAGCGACTGAGCCGGCAAAGACATGCACCTATGTCTCAAGCCATACGACCTTTTGCAGACATGTTGCCCAAACTGGGTAGACTTCTAAGTCGCTTGCGACCTGCGGATGCTCGCGAGTCTCCGGCTGCAGATATGCTTCATGGACGCTGCACGTCGGTTCATGTGCAAACACACCCGTCACTTTTGCTTTATTCAGCGATGAAGGCTCCTACTTCCATTCGGAAGTAGCCGCTGTCCTGTGGCACCTACTTCGTTAACCAGCCCACCTGCCATGCATAGGGTTTCCTGGCATTGAAAGCTCGTTAGTCAAGTCCTGTCTCTCTGCACGGTACAGTGGTTTTCGAAATCTCGCAAGCTGCTGGTTTTCCAAAAGTCCTAAATAAAGCTGCTACGAGTGCTGCTGCTACCGTGAGTTGAATCTTGAGCTGCTTAGTCGGCGACACCTGCCCTTAGCATAGGCACAGCAGTACTACTACAACCAACAGAACACACACACTATGCCCATTACCCCCGCTACTAAGTACTCCTGCTAATGCTCCTGCGCTGCTGCTGCTGCTGCTGCTGCCACGTCTACGTCTACTGCTGCTACCACGAGCACCACCACCACCACCACTGCTGCTGCTCCTCCTCCTCCTACTACTACTACTACCACCACCACCACCACTACCACTACCACTACCACTACCACTACTACTACTACTACTACTGCTGCTGCTGCTGCTGCTACTACTGCTACTACGACGATTTCTACGACAACAACTATTACGAGGATGAGTAGCAGTAGTAGAAGCAGTAGTAGTAGTAGTAGTAGCAGTAGTAGAAGCAGTAGTAGAAGCAGTAGTAGTAGTAGTAGTAGTAGTAGTGGTGGTAGTAGTAGTAGTAGGAGGTGCGGGTGTCATATTTGACGCCACGTTTTTGTGGCTGCGAGGACGAGTTTTCATCGATAATTACAGCACTTTTCGCAAGGCAACAGCAGGAGTGTCGAGGGTAGGATTTAGGTGCTTTTTCCGATGATACATAGGATAGAGAGAGGT